AAGAACTATTTCCATTTTTGGCTGATACTAATGCAGATAGAGTCATTTGTATGTTCAACTGAAAGATTTCCTGGAGTTGGACTGCTTATAGATGCAACAATAAAGAAATGAATCTTTTAAGTAAAAATTCATGAAATGTATATAAGTGAAGTGAGAAAAACAAAAAACCCTCTACCTCAATTAAATACAGACCCTCTCTCCTCTATGTGCATTGGACCACGCAGGTCTTCATCTCTTGCCTAAGAAGAAAACCACCTCAGCAGTCAACCTAACTGTGTTTGCTCTCACCTCTCTTATTCCCTGGCCTCTTCCAACACATCAATCATTTAAAAAATGAAAAACAGTGCTCAGAGAGAAAAGAGGCAAGGTGTACAACAATGCACTGCAGAACCCATCACCAGCACTGAGGTATCTGTTTTCAGCAGTTCCTAGTACTCCACTCTCCAGATAGATTATACATAGTCTATCTTGTGTCCTATGCACCACTGATGTTTTTCCTTTTTTGTCTTTTAGCAGTGTTGCAATGGGCAATCTTACATTTATACCTGAGTAAACTGCTTGTCATTTAAAATTCTTGTATAAAATTCAGCATTTTTCATACTTACAGATCATTTACATTTCTTTTATTGACAGCTTTCAAATATGCTGCCCATTCTCCTACAGACACTTCTTTCTACAGTTTTTGTGGTCTCATCACCTGTACTATGACCTCTCCAGCCCTCCAGTGTAAGGAGTGGGGTAAAGACAAGAGTTTGTCACCATCACTGACTGAACTTGCTTTTTATCAGGAGTACGCATAATCTAAATACTGACATTCACCTTCGTTTCTGCACTCCATTCTTTTCCATCAATTGTCTTGCATTTCTTCTTTAGTTCTCACTTGTTCGAACCGACGGAAGCATCCAAATACATTTCACTGTCTACTAAGGCTTCCTCCTCTACTCTTAAAAGAACTGTACAATTTTCAGATTCTTCCTTTTCCCAGATTAACTTTAGTATATTTTTTGTCATCTTGCTCCCAAAACTCTGTTAGTATTTTACAGACAAAAATGCCTTTCAAGACAGCTTCTCAAAACAGACTCTTAAACAGGACATAATGTCTTCCTATCTACTTACATCTTTTTATAAACATTATTGCATTTAAATTATTCCTCCTATAGGTTTTTAAAAAATATACATTATCTACCAATCTATTTATTTAAGTTTTTTTTGAAGGTTTTGCTACATAGCCCAGCCTGGCTCAAACTCACAGCAATCCCCCTGCCTCAGCCTTCTAAATGCTGGGATTATAGGCATGTGCTACCATACCCGGCTCTTCCCATAGATCTTGATTATTACATCTCGGCATCTCACCTTTCTGGGTACTATTATTCATAGTTTATTTCCCTCTGCTAATTTTCCCAACGGTTTTGGCCTGCATACTAACAGCTACTAATTCTTGTACATTAAAGTTAAAGTTGGGGGCTGGGGATTTAGCTCAGTGGCGTAAGCGCCTACCTGGCAAGCATGAGGTCGTGAGTTTAATCCCCAGTACTGCCAAAAAAAAAAAGAGTTAAAATCATCCACCCTTCTCAAATTCTCTATTTGTCAGTTTTTTGGCAGAATTGTTTCAGTTTCTGTAACACAAAATATTAACTGCCCTTTAATCTCAGCAGTTGGGAGGATGACTGTGAGTTCTGGGCTACACAGCAAGACACTGTCTCAAAGAACCAAAACAAATTGCAAATAATTGTCCTCTCTTTTATAGATACTTTTTTTACATTATACATACAAATATTTCCTGAGCAATATGATGATAATAGTAGACTTCTTTTATAGTTTTCTTTCTTTTTTTTTTTTGTCTTTCGTTTTTATCGGTACCAGGGATCGAACTCACAACTGCCTGCTTGCAAGGCAGGCACTTATGCCGCTGAGCTAAATCCCCAGCCCCTTTTATAGTTTTCTTGACCTCTGTGGTGACACCCTTAATTACCGTCAGCATGACACTGGGTTCTGGTTTGAGAAATAAGAAGGTTTTGCTGTCTAAGCGTATAATCTCCAAATCTTGGCAGTATCAAGTTTACATAGGGCAACAAATTATCATGTAAAAAATACTTACTGATCAACTGACATGTACACAGTTTGTTCCTCTTCACAAATGCCTGCTTACTGTCTTTTCCCGTCCCTCTTTAGGACTATGTTGTAAGTCAAGGATGTCTTTTCAGTGCTGTCATTATTTGTGGTTTCTTTTTCTTTTGAGACAGGGTCTCAATATGTAGTCCAGGTCGGCCTCGAATTTGTGGCAATCCTCCTGCCTCAGCCTCCCCAGTGCTAGAATCCACCACACCTGCATTGTTTGTGGGATTTTTTTTTTTTTTTTTTTTTTTTTGGTATTGACAATCAAACTCAGGACCTTGTGCGTGCCAGGCAGGCACTTACTAAGCTATATCCCTGGTCCTGTTTGTGTTTTACACAAAGGTCTCCTTTTGTTTTTCAACTGGCCTTAAATCCACTATGGAGTCCAAGCAGGCCTCAAACTCACAGCAATGCTCCTGCCTTAGTCTCTCAAGTGCTGGGAATACAGATGTACACCACACACCCAGGTTTGTCGTATTATTTTATCTGCTACAAATTATGCTATAAAACCCTAACTATAGCCAAGAATGTGGCACATGTCTGCAATCCCAAATACTCAGGAGACTGAGGCAGGAGGACTGTAAACTCATGGCCAGCCAGCAATTTAATGAGGCCTTTGTTTCAAAAAAAGAAAAGGTTGGGGGAGGCAGTGACTAGGGACGCGGCTCAGCAGTAGAGCATCCCTAGGCTTAATCCCTAGTCCAAAATTAAAGACAACCCCAAACTACACACTACATTCAAAACTAATGTAGCTCCCACTGTAGCTTGAAGCACTGTCCTCACTACTTACCACAAAATCTTCCTCATTAAACACGGGTTTCATTTTTGTAGTGCTACCGATCAATCACTAGGGATCTCATGAAGAGCTCCCAAACGTATTTATTACTGTTTATTAAAGTGCACCACTGCTGCTCCCCCTGCTCCCCACCACCCATCAGGAGTGGATCTGAACTGTACTCAAACGCTTTCAGGTAGCTACTGAGCTGCTCATACAGCTAAAGGAGGTAAGGGCCTGTTCTACTGCCTGAGGTTTGGGTTCAAACCCTACCTCTAGCCTTCACCTGCTGTGAGAGCTCTGACAGGCATTCAGTGTCTCCATGTCTGTTTCCTCTTTTATCTACCTCATGGGCTGGGCTCAACTCACTGAGTTAATGTTACATGAGAGGCACCCGGGCGAGGAGTCTAGGGTACAATGAGTACTCAAGGCTTAACTGCTGGTATCATTCTACCAGGGGTATTCTACTTATGATTAGTTATATCTCAATAAATCCCCTGTGTGTTGAAGATACAGTGGGCATTTAGGTTTTTGGTGCTGGAGATCACACCCAGGGCCACATGCACAGTAAAAGCACTCTACGCTAAGCTATACACTCCCACCCATCAAAATGTATTTAACACACAACTCACTGAACATAGCTTAACAACATATTTTACGCCTGTGACCACATGGCTGCCTGTAATTGCTGCCACTGCCCTTCATCTTACTAGCTTTTTCCATTTTGCCAGGAGATCAAAGCTCAAATTCAAAGCTCAAATTCTGAAGAACAGATTTTACTGAATGCATGTCACTTCACATCATTAAAAAGCCAAAACCCAGACATGATGGCGCATGCCAATAATGAACACTCTCAAAGTGAGGGATGAGGATCACAAATTTGAGTCTAGCCTGGACATTTTAGAGAGATTATCTCAAAATAAAAAATGAAAAAAAGGGTTTGAGACATGCAAAGACCCTGGTTTCAATCCCCAGTACTGGCCGAAAATAAAATGTCAAAATAGAGCCAGGTGTAAAGGGGCACACCTGTAATCCTGGCACCTGGGAGGCTAAGGCAGAAGGATCATGTGAGCACAGTGCTCACACTAGTCTGGGCAAGAGAGTAAGGCTTACCTTCAAAACAAAAACAAAAACAAATCAAAATACGGAACAAGGGCAGGGGCTAAAGATCGGTGGCAGAGCACTTATCTAGAAAGCACAAGATCCTGGGTTCTATCCTCAGAATAAGTAGGGGAAGGTGTGTCAAAATATTTAAATTGAACCATCCTAAGTCGGGGGCTGTCTGAATTACATAATTATTCACTCCCATACTGTGGGCTGAATCTCACTTGGCTTTGGTGGATTTTTATTTGATTTGAGACAAGGTTTCATTAACTAGATGGGACTCAAACTCGTGATCTTTCTCTTCAATTTGAGTGCCAGGTATGTACCAAACATATCCATCTGAAACATTTTGTTTCAAGTACTGATAAATAATATTTGCAAGACTTTTTTTTTTTTTTTGATGCTGCAGATCCCAAAACAAATATTGGGAGGCAAGTACTGGAGACTGAAGCCAGAGCCTTCACACTAAGCCACATCCTCAGCTATTTTTTTTTTTTTTTAAGACTAGTCAAGTGCAGTAGTGAGAAGGGTAGAAAGAGGAGAACGAGGAGTTCAATCTGTACTGACTGTGAACAATCAATTGAGATAACTCACCACCTTCGGACCAGCCTTTTTTTTTAAAGACAAGGAGTCACTACGTTGCTGAGGCAACCCTTCTATCTCAGCCTCCTGGAGTGCTGGGATTACGACTGTGTGCCATTAGACCTGTCTTCAAAACATTCATTCGATGGTGTGACGTACACTAGGCAAATCCTCTAACACTGAGCTACACCCCCAGCCTATTGCCTGCTGGTATTTTATTTTAAAATGTCACATTATTGTTCATACAGAGCAGGTCTTCAAGTTTGGAACTATCTTCATGTCAAGTTCCAGTGTCAGTGGTTTTGTAAAAAGAACCTGAGACTTTCTCTTCCTGGTGCCAGGGAACAAGTCATTTTATTTTCTGTGTGGAACAATTTAGAATTTATCAAAATTGTAAGTTCTGTGGAAGTTCAAAAGAATTTACCTGTGACACCAGCTGAGCCTTGCATTGTAGGGAATGATGGCTTGTTGGTAACTTTGTCGATTTCTGCCATTGCTACTGGTCTGTTAGGTTCCTTCTTCTGGAGTCAATTTTGATACCTGGATTTCTTTAACAAATAAAATAAAATAAAATCTCGCTTGATTTCTACAGTCTTGTACAGCAGTTGTTTTAAATATTATCTCTAACCACATGTATTTATTTCCTTTTTCTTAAGAAAGTAACCAGTTTATCTAACTTCTACTTCTCCTAATTCCAATGAATTAGCCCTTCCTGATCAATTTTATCATTTTTTAGTTCTTAAATTTGCATTTCCTCTTTATTACCTTTCTCATGCTCTCATTTCCAATTTCTTACACTAACTGGTTATTTTAAGTTATTCTACATTTCACGATTTGAGTGCTCAAGGTTATGCATTTCCTTTGAGAAAAACATTTTAGCACTCAGAATTAAACACAGAGCCTCTGCCCTATGCCCTTCTTAAAAAAATGTTTTGGGGATTTTTGAGACTAGGTCTCACTATGGTAGTTCAAGCTGGCCCTGAACTTGTGGTGATCCTCTTGCCTCAGCCTCCCAAATACTGGGTTTACAGATGTGAGCTCCCATGCCCAGCCCTTTTTCAAAATTTTGAGATGGGGACTAGCTCACTCAGGCTGAGCTCAAACTTGGAATCCCTTCCTTCCTCAGTGTTCCACAGTGCTGGGATAATAGACATGCACAACTGTGGCTGGCTTCCTTTATCACTTTTTAAAGATATTCCATATTTTATTTTATTCTAGTTACTTATGTGTTCTAAAATCTTCAGTGGGTTAGTTTAGTGTTGTGTGCAATAAAAACAGCATTAAAAAAGCGGTTCCAGAATGTTATCTACTCTCTGCCCTTGCTTAATGCAGTGAGGCTTTATGATTTAAAATGTTCTACAGGCGCTTGAAAAGTTTGCCTGAGCTTAACAATAATTAATCATTTGGCCTATTACAGCCTTACTTCTTACTGTTTCGGCTGCTGGCAAGAAAGCTGTCTATTACTGTACTTGCCAATCTCACAATATTTAAAAAATTAAAGTTTATTTTAAAAATGCTTGATACTTATACAATGCTTTACTCTTAATTTCATAATGTTAAAGTCAACAAAAATATTTAGATCATTACAAAATATCGTTGACAATTTATGTCAAGCACATTTTATTTTTACATACAGAGCACATAATACATTTTAAATCCTAAACTATGTATGTTTCTGTACAATACAAACCATTAGCCAGACATGGCGGCACATGCCTGTAATCCCAGCACGCTGGAGGCTGAGACAGAAGGATCACATGAATTGAGGCCACACTGAACTATACAGTAAGACCTTGTCTCAAAAAAAAAAAAAAAACAACTAAATAAATTGCTGCCCTTGAACAATATAAATTTTGTCCATGTTCATTTTTCATTTTTACTGGAATAGAATTTGTGTTATTTTCCTACAAGAAGCAAGCCAGTCATTTACTGGCCACTGTATCAAACTTGTTTTAAGATATTTTAAGAATCTTACTGTACATCTACATTCTCAGTTGTTAAAAATAGTTCTAGCCAATGTAGTAGCCTACATCCATAATCCCACTACTTGGGAGGCTGAGTCGAGAGGATCACTGCAAGTTTGAGTCCAGCCTGAGCTACATATTGAGGTCAAGGCCATCTCAAAATACATAGCCAGACCCTGCCTGCAAAAAATCTTCTGGAGCCAGGTGTGGTGGTGCAGGCCTGTAATCCCACTACTTGGGAGCCTGAAGCAGGAGGATGGAGCAGAGTTTGAGGCCAGCCTGGGTTAGTGAGTTCAGAGCCAGTTCAAGCCAGACCTTGTCTCAAAAACAAAACAAACAAACAAACAAAAAAAAAAAACAAGAAAATTCTTTAACGGGGACAAAAAGTCCTCTGCAATTTATTGCACGACTGGTCGCTACCTAAAACCCCCAACCTATATCAAAATAAGTAAGCAAGTTAACGAAGTCGACTTTTAAGCAACTGCAAAGGGTAAAAAACTTTTGTGGCATGAAAGAGTGTAGTCTAAATACTCTTAATATTTTACACCCCACACGAATACACCACATCCAGATGTTATTCCAGTACAAAGGTCTTTGCAAAACTGCACAGAAGGTGACCATAATTCTCAAAGGATGTGAATTCCCACTGGTCAGCAAGTCTGAGTCAGCATTCAGAACAAGGTCAGGCTGAGTTCTAGTTCTAGTTATGTCTCTATCTTGCTACCATAAGCACAAAGCAAAGTCTAGTTTGTGCCTATTTCATCTACAAAACCAGAGAACAAGGAAGTCACTTTCTCTCAGGGGTAGTAAACAGCGCTTTATTTTTTGCTGAGACGCCTAATTTGTGCTTTGGAACTGCTACGATCCTCGAGGCATCCTATGTTGAGTTTCACAGAATTATTTCAAAGTGAATTCGGAGGCTCCAAAGGACAAGGTCATTATACATGTATTTCAAGAACTTCTATTTCATAGATTACAGGTACCAAAGCAGAAGGTAGTAATTATGACCTTCCAGGTAGGACTCTACGGGACAAAATAAAAGTTATGCCACGGTGCTCAGTACAGCGGAGGCGTCGACATACTCCGTCTCCCTAAACTCAGTAACAAAGCATCGGTATAGAGACTGACACCACCCCCACACGAAAGGCCTCGTACAATTGTTTCCTATAAGGCGGTGCAACATGGTGTCGCAGAACAAGCATTCACTGGGCGTCCATTTCCCCAGTCTGAAAAACAGAGAAGGTAGGCAAGATCATTATGACCCCTTGGTTCTCTGAACTCTAGCGTCGGGATCCAGCTCTGAGTAGGCAGGAATCCCAGCCTTCGGGCCGAGGGTGGGCGGCCATACGCGGTGCCCGCGACGCTACCAGGACGTCTGCAAAGCCCGGCTCCTCCCCGCCCTTGCTCCTGCGCCCGGGAGGCGACTTCCCAGCCTGCGCCCGGGCGAACGCACAACCGTGCGCGGCAAAGGTCGCCGGGCGGCCACGACCACGACGCCCCCGGCGCACTCCGGGCGGGCGGAAAAGCAAAGGCCCAGAGGCACGGAACCGGGCCCAGGGAGTCTGGGTGCACGCACAGGGCCTCGGCAGCGGCGGCCCTTCAACCCTTCCTACGGCCCTTCTGTCCGCGGAGGGCCGAGGGGAGCCCAATCTTCCCCCAGCGCTTACACACTCACCCATGGCCGCAGGCGCCGGGCACACGCCCCATGCCTCCCGCCCGCAGGACGGCCGCGAGCGAGCCCGCGCCAGCGCAGGCGCAGAACTGGACTGAGCCGAGCAGCGGGGTGGAGCGGGTCACGTGAGAGGGCTGCCGCCTGTTCCATAGCAGACAAACAACATGGTGACGCCCTCCTACTTCTTCGACCGCTGTCAGCACCAGAGCGGCAGGTAGAGGGGTCACGCCGCCACGCCTGACGTCAGGCAGTGGGGAACCGCTAGTCCCGGTATCCCACCATGATGTCGTACGGTGGCCCCGCTGAGCCAGAAATGCCAACGCGTTATCTGGTGTGCGGCCTGTGGGTGGATTCTAGGAAGGGTGAGTTCTGGGTGCTAAGTGCGTGCAACTGGAGGATTTTAAGCGGCCTCCTGACTCCTCTGTGTCGCCTGGGATAAGATTCTGAAACCTTCGGAGCTCCTTTTGGCAGCTAACCATGCAACAGTTCATGAAACTGCTTTATGTGCTTTAGAACATAGAAATCACTGTAGATTTTTTTCTCTCTCTGAATTACAAATAACTCCTGGGGTCTTGGAACACTGCACTGGGAATCAGGAGGCCTGGGTCAGGGTCCTAGTCATAGAGCATTTCTTGGGAATTACCACGGATAATAGATGGTCCCTAAGCCCCAAATCCCAATGAAAAAGTAATCCTCATGCCTTACTTTCTCATGACTGAGGCAATATCCAACACCCACAGTTGTAAGGAGGCAAAGTTGTGGCGCGCAGTTCGTAGAGGTCTGGGTCCACAGTGGCTGGCTCAGAAGAAGGGTGGCAAGGCACAGGAGGATTGCTCCTGGCGAGCTATCAGGAAGCAGCGAGGGTTCAAGGGAATAGGAGGGAAATAGACTCTTCTAGGCCATGCCCATAGTGATTTGTCTCTTCCCATCAAGCTTTTCCTCCTGATGTCACACTTATCTGTAGTCTGATCAGTGAATTGGTCCCCCATGATCTGATCATCTCCCCGAAATCTTACGAATGCTCAGAGAGGCTTTGGGGGAACATCTAGATATAAGCCATAATGCTTGTGTGCCATTGTAAGTGATTCTCACTGGAAGTAATGATTCTCACTTTAATTTGTAAGCAGGACCACACACAGCTGATTTGAGGAGTTGAAGAAATAGAAAAGAGCCTGGACAGGGGAAGCCCTGTGGGAGTTTGTCAGATATGTGATGCCTGCTTTAGTGGGGGCTAGCCCAGTGGATAGGCCACCACTGGAGTGCAGCATTAGTAGTGAAAAGCTCTAGCTGGCTGACCCCCATCTGGTGCTTCTTTTTGAGATGTAGGAGACTGTGCCTCCCCACTTTAGCAAACTCTCGAAGAGGTACCTGTTGTGCGGCAGGTGCCCTCAAGCAAACTCAAAGCCTAATGTAGGACACAGAAATGGAAGACTGCACTTTGAGAAGTATGAGGGCCTTTCCTTTTCAGAGAGTACCTGCAGTGGCTTCACAGGGTTGAACTGGTCCTTGGAGGCTGGATGGGTGGAATTTGAACCAGTGGAGAAAGTCTTTGCAGCCAGAGATAAGATTATAAAGGTCAGTCTTTGCCCTCATAGTGCAAATCTTTGCTGCCACACGCAGGCAGTTGGTATCTAATTAGTGTACAAGAGATAGATTTTGGACTCCCTAGGAAAATGACAAGGCCACGGCATGGTTTAGAACAATCCGTCAGGCAACAGTTGGAGAAAGGGCATTCAAAATTGTGTTTTTTCCTAGCTTGTGTGAATTCCTATTCAGATGTATTATTCAAAAGCCAAATAAACCAGGCAGGCATCCAGTGTGTTCATAAGCATAAATAATTAATTTCAAATTGAAATAGGTTAATCTTCTGTGGGAAAACATAAAGAGAAGGAAAAGACTGAAATTAAATATACCATTGGGTTATAACCAACTCAAAAGAGTGAGAAAATTCCACAACATCAAAAATAATTAGTCTGGAGTTGGGCCAGTCCCTTTCCATCCTGCCATAGGCCACAGCCTGGGATCCTCTTAAGAACCCCCAGGGCCCTTAATGGGCTATTCTTGGACACTTAAATGTTAGCATCAAAACCTCTGTTCTTTGATTCAGAATTCATAGTAAAGTTAACTTTTCATTTCTGCCGTTATCTGCCATTTTCTCATTCATTTTTCAGTCCCTTAAAATGTTTTGCATACCTTCAGCTTCTTTATCAGCCACCAGAGAATAGCCTCTAGCCCAGCTGTGATCACATCACTCAGTTAAAACCCTCCCATGGAGGGCTGGGCATAAGTGCCTTCCTGGAAAGCATGAGGTCATGAGTTCGATTCCCTGTACCAGAAAAAAAAAAACCTCCCACAGAAGATGGGCATAGTGGCAGATGCCTATAATCCCAGTTACTCAAGAGACTTAGGCAAGAACTTTACAAGTTCTTGGCCAGACTGGGTAAGTTAGCAAGACACTTGTCTCAAAATACAGAATGGAGACTTCCGGGAGAACATGGCGGACAGATAACAGCAACTACCGGAGGCTCTCTGAAAGACTCGGCTCAGAAGCCAGGAATGGTGCGGACTAAGGAGACATAAGCAGGTGGAGATATGCTCTGCTGACTCAGGAACGAACTGGGCTGAGAGAAGCCAACTTGGAATGCAGTCCTGCTGCTAAAACAGGAACAGAAAAGCCTCAGTGTGGAGGCTGGAACCGCGCCATTGTAAGCCGCGATTTGGGTTTCCCGCCGCGCGGCGGCTGGCTGCCTCTACAGCGGCTCGGCAAGGAGAGAGACGCGAAGAAGCTCTGAGAACGGCAATCTGCGAACGGCAGGGAGGCGTGCACTGACATGTGGCGAGGTGAGTGAGAGAAACTGACACTCTACCACAGTTTGACTCCAGCAGAGGACTTTCTGGGCCCAAGCAGTCCTGTGGGAGCAGGGCGCGGTGGCGACTCCAGCCACACATCCCCCTCTCAGGCGGGATTGGTGAAAAGTGCCTGGCCTGCGTGACGCTGCCGGCGGACCTGGTAGACTGTCCCAACCCAGATCCCAGAGCCCGACGGTGGCCGGGAGGGGAGACGCGTAGGCTGCCTGGTCCGTAACTCCCTGGTGCGCAGCGGTGAGCGGGAACACCTAACTGGCGCAATTCGATCAGGCTGTGGCTGACTGGGAGAGAAGCTGGGCCTCTTATATAAGCTTGCATATATAAGGAACAGAGAGGAAGAGGCAGCATGGGAAGAGGCAGCAACAAGAAAGGCTCCTCGGCCCCCAATTCTGAGAAACAGGCAATAGCAGACACCACACCAATACACATAAGGCACCATATAGAGAGCCTCATAGACCAATTCAGGAATGAAGTTATCAATGACCTGAAGCTAGAAGTATGCAGAATAGTTAGAGAAATGCTAAGTACCACCCAAGAAAAAACAGGTGGTGGAATGGAAGAACAGAAAAAAAGGGGAGAATTGTTTGATGGAGAAAACAGAGAAAGCATAGAATACGTGAAGCAGGTTCAAAGGGACTACCAAGATACTAAGAAGTCTATAGAAGACTGGCATAACAGCTTGAAAGAAACTAAGGACAGACTATCTGAACTGGAGGGCAGACTTGTAATATGGGAGAATGAAATGAAAAACTTCTTAAAAATAACAAAGAAACAAACAGCAATAATACAAAGACAAGAAGATGATAAGAGGATCCATAACTTAAGGATTAAGAACATAAAAGAAGAAGTAGGGACACAAACAAGTGAACTACAAAAGCTACTCACAGAAATAATCCAGGAGAATTTTCCTAATTTAGCAAAAGGTAAAGATACTCAGATGTATGAGGCATACAGGACCCCAGCTACCTACAACCCAAACAGAGCAACACCCAGGCATATAATAATAAAAATTCCAGAAATTCAATACAAGAACAGAATATTAAAAGCTGTAAGAGACAAGAAACAGACCACTTACAAGGGAACACCCATCAGAATTACAGCAGATTTCTCTGCACAAACCATCAAATCACGAAGAGCGTGGGGGGAAATAATTCAAGCTTTGAAAGATAATAATCTCTAGCCAAGATTGAGATATCCTGCACAACTGTCCCTGGAAATTGATGGAAAAACAAGGTGCTTCCAGGATAAAGAGGAACTGGGGGAATTTGCAACCATCAATTCAACTCTACAGAGAGTATTGCAGGATATTCTAAAAAAAGAAAAATACAAAGAATCCAGAAATAATGGCAGAGAGGCCACAACGAATGGAGCAGAGAACAAAATGAAGAAGACAAACTGACAGCTACGGACAGAAAAAGAGTTTAACAGAAATGAGGCAGAGAAGATTGGATGATAGGAACAGCTATTTTGGAGAAAATGACATCTTAATAGGTAATACAGATTTAGTATCATCTTGTTTTGAAGTCTCATCTAGCTTTTGTCCTTCTGTCTCCAATGGTCTAAATAGGCTGTATCTTATTGGATTTTATTATGTACGATAGTATAAGCAAAAACCTTTTAAAGACAAGGAGATTATACAGAAACCATTGTTCATTTTGTTAGTCGATTCTAAATACTCTGTAATGCTGTCATTCTCTTGAATGGTTTTACATTGTTTTGATATACTTAATGCTACAGTATACGAAGTTATACTCAAGGATTTCAAAGAAAGAAACAATATGGTAACTACTTTTAGGTTAGGATTATCTGGTGGTGAAACACTATTCTGCTTAAATGGTTATGTTTTGATCTGCGCTGTTTCGTTGTTATGCCCTCTTTTATCTCAATCTCCACTCCATTATTTACTTTTTTATCTTTATCCTTTTAATTAAAGGAAAAAAAATAGCAGGATATATTATAGTAACCCATTTTGACTTTTCATTACCTTGATTTAAAGCCCTGTATTACTCTCACCATCTGGTTTTTAACTGATGTTCCCCTATTCTGTTTTGCTGGATAGTATCAGGTTCGAAAGTTTAGGCATCAGCTGTGAAGATAATGAGATTCATTATGACGCCCATTCTTGTTGACTTTTATCTACTTTTGAAGACCTACAATGTCTCCAATGTTTTGGTTTTGTCGGTTTTATTCTTTACTGTTTTGTTCAATTGTATTATAACTAATGATATAGGCAATTCTATTAGAGATAGTGGGAGGCATTATGGTAACCATTGTTGATCACCTTGTATTATGTTTTTACATT